TTTCTCAAACGCAGGTAACGAGGACATTTCAATTGCTCCAAACACCAGTCAGGACTTTCATCTTCACGTGGAGCCAGTGGACTTGGCGAGCTACGCCTTTTACCTTCCAATCATCGTCAACGATATACTTGGCCCGGCGTTAATGACAAGCCACAAATCTCTCAAACCTTTGGAATACCTGAAGCAATTCAAAAGCCATTACGCCGGCGTGCCTAATGTCATTGTGCACAAGTTACCATCTGCTATCGTGACGATGCCGATCGACTGTACAGTCGCTGGACACTTGTTGTTCTTTAACAAGTTCGAGTTTCGTTTCAACGTTCTAACGGGCAACGTAAGAGCGTTCGCATAAAAATACATAAGAAATGTAAAGTAAAGCACGATAAACGATACATAATATTTCAATTTCAAAGCTGTCGGACGAATTCTCTATAGAGAATCGCGACTCGTTGGAGGAGAAGTACGTTCGAATTGACACTAGCAGTTTCTCCACTGCCTCCTGTCCATTTTCTATCCAGTGGCTAGACGGCCGAGAACCAATTGTAATGTCGGATCACATTCAATGCGCATTGCGAAAGGGTGAACGATGCAAATTTCTGCTAACGTTTCGACCCAAGTTCCAAGGGAATTTCACCGCCGAGGCACCGATCTTTATCCACGACGAGTCAAGTGGCGAGATGTTTAACAAACTCTGCCTGATCGGCGAACGTCCCGCGAGCACCATCGAAGCTGAGTTCCCCGAAATATTTTTCGCCCCGGTGCCGTTAAGCACTTCGCTCGAGAAGAAGTTTCGGCTGTACGTCAGGCATTTTGAGAACGATGCAGTTATTTCGGCGAGAATTTCTCCATCGCCTGAATACTGCAGTGGAAAGTTCATAGATAATGTTCTTCTCGTACGTTTTGTTGATACGAATGTAGTGCTTGCTTCTGAGTAAGTATTTCTACATATAGCTAGCATTATAGACAGTATTATAGATGGGGGAAGACTATTATATAGACAGTATTATAGAGGGTTTAAAGACAGAGTTGTGAATAGTCAGCTGGTAGAGACAGCGAGCTTTAATAGAGAGTATTAATATATCTTTTTTTGCTATTGCATTAAGACTTTTTATTTCTGTCAATCCTTATTTCAATAAACTTTATTTTCCAACTTTATTGAACAACGTGGAATAAAATATTCCCTTTATTTCATTTCTACATAGATAATGTAGGTATGTAGTATAGATAGTATTATAATACAAATTATAAATAGTATATATATACAGATAGTATTATGATGCAAATTATAAATAGTATATACAGATAGTATTATGATATAAATTATAAATAGTATATACAGATAATATTACATATAGATATAGATTACAGATATAGATAGATACAGATACATAGGGTATCCTATTTTAATCTGTAAATGGAATTATTTGACAAGGTTAATCACGACTGTTGTTCTTGCACCTTTGTGTATTTACCTTGGGCGTGAAGGACCACCCACTGATGTGGGAAAGAAAATGAAACTAATCTTCTTGACTTGAATTTATTGAACATTTAGCCTGGTGGCACCTATGCAATTCTTGCTTGGGCAAGAATGTTGAATAAAGTTACAAGGCTAAATGTTGACTAATTGTAACTAACTATTTGTAATACTGACCATATTGACCGACTTGATTGAACTATAAATTTTGACTGATCTGATTGAACTCTAAAATTTGACTGACCAACCTTCTCCTTTTTCCGGCTTTGAATTACCTTTTCCAAAGGAGGGGTTGTAGAGCGGTGGATATGCCAAGACCAATCAGGAAATATGGGAGGTTTCCAAATTTTCCCATCGCCAGCCATGAGCGTAGGGCATTTCTGGAAACGAAATCTTAGGAATACTATCTCGCTTCTTACACACTCCTTCGAGTACGCAGTTATTGTTATGACACGATGATCCCCACGGTGCGGAATAATTCGTCGCACTTAAAATTAACTTGTCAGATGTATGGGATGTCTGGAAGTGGCCAAAGACCTGATTTGCCACGCTGAATTAGTTTGCACATCTATGCCATAAGTGTTGCGTACTCGTAGCCTTAATACTATTCGTCATTTAAAAAAAAAATGTCTTAGATGTATTTCTTTCTGTTTTTACACAGCGATAATTACACTTATGTCAGTTTGTCTCGCAAACACAGCAACTCTCCACATAATTATACAGTTGATTTTAGCAGACCTTCATATCTCCTATACGCAGAATAATTAAGAATAACTAAGTGTAATTATCGCCTTTTAAAAATAGAAGAAGGTACACTTGAAATATTCTTTTAAATGACGCATAGTTTCAGAAATAATTGCATTTACAGATCAAAATGAGACATTCTGTATGTATAGAGACTATTCTATAATATAGTATCATATAATATATAATATTATATAGTATATTATATTATATACAGTATTATAATACTATATAGTATTATATACTATATTATAATACTATACAATATAATATAGTATACTAACATACTAATACTATATAGTATACAAGAATCACATAATATATAGTAATATATAGTAATATATAAATATAGTACGTAGTATTGTATATATATGGTATTTTTGAGTATTGTCAGTAACTACAAGGAATGATTTCTTTTCGCTAGATACACGGAACTGGTGGTGAGGTTAGTTTTTAAAAGCGAGATGCCCGTCTCGCTTCGCGCGATCGTCGAATTTTCCGATGACAATGGGATTGCTGTTTGCCCCGTAGCGATTCACGCCACTTCCGAAAATTGTTTGCTGACCACGCACGCGTACGTGAGGAACTCGTTGATCGATCATAAATGGTCAGCGAGCGTCGATCGAAGGACACCCCGTGTTTCTAAAACGTCCGAGAGCTTCACCGACGACGAAGACTATAATCTAGATATTCTGAAATCGGTAAGGAAAATGTTTGTTGAAAAAGGAAAGTTTTTCTTGAAATTTTATTATTACCGTGATACGAGACAAGCATCGCAATCAGATAACAGGTGTTTTGCAATTGCATCAACGAAACGTTTACGATTTCTATGCAACACGCGTGGCCACATCTCGAGATGATACATACGTTCTTTTTTCTTTTTTATTTTCAGAATCAATCGAAAATAGACATTCTAACATATTTCGGCCGAAAGAGTCGAATCTCGGATGAGAAATTAATTGAGGATAGATTGAAATTCTACGAGTACTTCGACGAGAGGGCTAACGTCGATAAAACAGAGGGAGAGACGAAGAAATATCTGCCGGAAATATCGAAAGGAGAGTCGAAAGTGTCCATCACGGTGTCTAACAATAAGACAAAGTACGAAGACGCTCAAGAATCGTTGCGATACCCGTTCTTTCCATCCAACATCGAGGACGAGTGAGCAGATGCTTTTTGCTCGTACAGGGTGGGCCAAAAATCACTTCCTACTGAAATAAATCCGTAATGTTCTTTGTCTTATATTTTTTTAAATTTCCCTTTTTTTGCAGGTTTTTAAAACAATTGCGTTCAAACTTAAACTCAATTTAAAATTATTGAAACTAGTTTCTTCTTATATTTTGATGTTTTATTAAAAAGAAAAAATAGGTGGGCCCACCCTGTATACTTGACGTTTAATCGTGACTTAATTGCTCTAATGTCACCCAGTAAATTCGAGATTTATATGAATCGAACGCTGAAAGCCGCCGAGGAATGGATGCACAGCGGACCTTTTAAATTCAATTTTTACGCTGACGTTACGTCCATCAAGATGGTACTGTCCAAGTATTACTCGAAGAAACCAGCGCAGTTCAAAACCACGACGCGGAAAGGTCTGGAATTAGGGTTCGTCGGTGTGCTCGAATCGTTGATAGGGCCAACAATTTATGAACATATTGGACAATTGTGAGCACTACCGCGAAGCTAATATAAACATGACAATAAATCTGATGAAATGTATTTATTATCGACTTGTTTCTGTTACGACAGCAAAGAACTGCCAGAGAAAGACATCGACAGGGTGAATTACATATGCAATCTTTACGACAGTGTTCTTCAGTTTTTGACAAAACACGGAGCTCACTTGTGCCACGTTCAGCCACAATTTTTGCTGGACTACGAAGAATATGTCATCTCTTTAGAAACGATATATTCACGTTCTAAAGTAAGAATGGTTTATGTTATATACGTACGTGTAATCTCTTACCAATGAACGAAAGCAAAATTTAATTAACACCTGAACTAAAGAATTATTTTATTTCAATTGATCGCCATTCGTTTTCTTTACAGGTCTACACACGAAGACCCGGGATAGAATTGTCAGTGGAAGAAAAATTGTCGCCCCTGAAGTTCCTAAATCGGAGCAAACAGTGTTGGCTAGACGTGATCCTGCAAACGTATAAATGTTTCATACTGCCGCGTGTTTCCGAGATCGAGGAAGACCCTTCGCAATCTCCCAGACGATCTACGATCCAGCGAGCATCCGTAATATTCTCTCCATCGAGGTTCGTGTAATTGTATATTTCCAGAATATTTTATATATTATATTTCATCTTATTGGAATTCTTCAGTTTCCGCAAGCAATACGAAGCTCGCAGCGCGATTGTTGGCAACGTTAACGCGGATATTTCGTCCAAAGCACCTGACAGTAATACCTACTCCTTCGACGAGTTGTTCCTGTTGGAATGGTTGCGCCATCATTACGAAGAAGGACGCAAACAGGAATGGATGATCGACCATCGCGTAATATTGAATCCGAACGAGAGCAAAGACGTGGCAGAGGCACGTAAAATCGAGAATTTCGACAGAGATCTGTCGGACTCCCTCGTGTTAATTGCTGTCACAGCTGCCTACTGTCCCTTCCTCGTTGACGAGTACTTGAGCAAGCTTTACATTCGTCCACGGAATTACGAGGAGGTAAATGTACGGCACACATACGTATGAATTATTGAAAATAATTCAGGGGAACAGAGACTGTACTGTTTTAAAGGCACTGCACAATGCTGTATGCTTGATAAACGCTTGGAGAAAAATACGACTTGGTTTTGTCATTTCACCATTGGACATCGTATATCCAAACTGCGTTAAAATGTTGATGCTGGTTGGATATTTGTTCGACATACTACCGACTTACACTCCCAAAGCTAAGGTAAAAAATGAACATCTTACCCCGCCACATACATGATTGAAGACCTCGTTTGTTGAAGAAAATAAAGCCAGAAAATTAATTGTCATAGAAATCTACAATTCAATGTTTCCCAGGTCAGATTTAGCTGTCCCCTGTCCGAGACTGTAACCAAGCAATTAAATTTCACGAATCCCACTGTGCACAATGTCGGTTTCTTGGTACTGTTTTTTGGGAATAATAACGAATTCTTCGCGTTACCTTCCTCACAGTCGATTATCAATCTCAGTGGCCGTGGAAGTTCCATAATAAAGATACAATTCCACGCTAAGAAAATAAAAAAGACTAAAGGTACGACTTTAAATAATGTAGTTGGCACATTCCACTCCATTTTTCTGTACGATAGATGTATAAATATAAATATATATATGTATTTAAAATTTAAAATTATTTAAAGAAAAGTATTCTTCTTTTGATAGCTTATTTGTTGTTTTGCGGGTCGACAATTGGCCCTCATTTTGGCAAGAATCAAACATTCATTTTGGAAGGGCAAGCTGACTGTTTAGGAATTGCAAACGAATACACAATACGTAGTAAGCTGTACCAACCAGTCGATAAAACTCTCATTATTAGTGTGCCGTATGAGAATTCAACGGAATATGAAATTTGGGCATCGGATGAACGGCCAAGTAAACCGAGTAAGTGAACTTGAAAAATCATTGAGTGTAATGAACTCATATTGTACAAGTATTTATACAATAATTTTGCAGGTACTTTGAAACAAACGCGATGGTCAGAGTTACGTTTAAGAAAGATACCTCGTAGATTATTCCTAAATCAAAATTCAATTGTAGTCGAAGGAAGTAGCAAAGTAGCTCATCTGTCGCTCACACTGGTCTGTCTCTCTCCTCGTCATCGAAGCTTCTGGATCATTTTCCAATCAAAGATTGGCGACTTTATCGTTCAAGTACGCAATTGAAAGCGTGATATTAAAATAATGATCTAACGCAAAAAAAGTTTACCTAGAGAAGCAAATGTAATGATCTAACGCAAAAAATGTTTGTTTAGAAAAGCAAAACTAGCCATTTATATAATACTATTTAGTTTATCATTTTCATATTAGCTTCATCATTTTTTAATTATCTTTTTTCATAATCCTGGCTGAAGTATGAAATTCTGTGATAAAAGAGCCAAGAGATTAAAAATTATGACAAGAAACTGTTTACCATAAAATGTTTTTTAATGAGCAAATTATCAACACTCGGTCAATATCAACTGTTCAATATCATTTGTTGCAAATTACCATATTTTCTTACGAAACAAGTTCCATGTAACTGTTTGAATATCTAGGTGTTTTTATAAAATTTTTTAAAACATTGCTTACACGTTCTTCCACAATATTCCAAAATTTCACATGAATCTTCCTCTAAAATTTTTTCAAATTACTTTTTAAATTCCAGACTAGCGTGGCAGAACTAAAACGTTAAATTAAATATCTTCATTCAGATAATACGTGATAAAACATTTTGGATGAGAAACATCCTTGACGCTTGTATCAAGTTGCAAGGACAATGTACTAATTAATATGACAAACGTAGATAAACTCTCAATGGCAATCATCTTTAACCGATAACATCGTGGTCAATTGGGACGAACAGATTGAAAGATGTACTTGCACAGAACAGGACTACAATGAAATGTGTCCATTGAACTTAACCGTGCCGATACCATCGAAAAACAAACAACTTTGGAGATGCGTGGCTCACATGTTTCAGAAAACTCTCGACCCGAAAGAACGACTTTTCTGGTCTCGATATTTGGGTATGTTTTGTTCGGCTACACAACCAAGAATTGAACTTGATTTGTAATAATCTATCGTATGTCTTATTCTATGAAGATACGCCTATTGGATTGCGTTTAATTCGTTGGTTAATGAGAGACAATACGGATTCCGCTGCTGCAGAGTTTAGCCATATATTTGACGCGACAGTGATTTACAACGTGACGATATCCGAAACGCCTCACGTTCTCCGATTTCCCAAGACATTTACTATAAATGGTTAGTATGAAATATGAAAACATGTTTCAATAAAAAAAAAAAATCAAGTAGATATATCAGGAGTTGACTTAAAAAACTTTAAAGTGTAAAAAAATTGACGAACTCTTTTAAGTTTTATAAGTTAATTTTTTAAAGATTTCCAAGTTACAAAAAATGTTTAACTTAGAAACGAGATCAGGATTAATTATTGATATAAAAGTTCACGTCATTCTGGAACTAGAAGGATATATTAAAATTATTGATTTAGATGTGAGATCGTCTGCTGAGAATATTCCAATGAAGATACATGTTTCGCCATTCGTAAATCGACTGTGCGAAATAATACTAACATTGACCTCTGTCAATGAGAGTGAACAAAGAGTGTACAAAGTCTGCATTTTACATACGTGAACGTGAGTGACACATTCGTTACCAACAGTCGTTTTTAAAGGAATAGAATCCAGTAGATATTTACTCAGTATCATAAATTGTTTTATCTATTATATCACATCATTCTTTATTCTCAGCTATACATTACATACGCATGATTGTCTCCTGCTTGCATGATCTCAGTTTGAAGTTGAAATGTTCTTAAATTTGTTAGAGAAGAAGTCAATAAAATAATCTTATATCGAAGGTCTAATAAAATTGTGTTACTGTCGTTCGTTGCACAGACAATTGAAAAGATATTTATCTTTCCAATTGTCATATCTCACGATTCCGCTTATAGAATACTACTGCTTAAAAGTTTTAGATCATTCGATAAGATCTGGATTTTTTCTATAAAATTATAGGAAAACCACTGGGTAAATACATAGAGCTCAATTTCTTTTGTAATTCAACAACGACTAACTCATCTTGGTTTTCTATACTCTTATAGCAAAAAGAAATGCAAATATAACTTAAACTTAACAAAAATGGATATTTATCTATTTATACTTGCTACTGTAATTAGATAGATTGATTTCTACACTATTGTATAACATGAATTGTGTAAATAATCGTTCATCGAAACAACTGTAATAATTTTTTTCATTTCATGGGTATTAATTGACTATGAAAATGACTATTAATATCATGTTCAAGATATACGATAATATTAATCTAATATACCAATTCTAATAATTTTAATAATAGAATTAAAATTTTTTTTCCTTTAGCTTCTTACAGCTTTTTTTTTGCACTTTTTAATTTTAATTTTAATTTTAATTTTAATTTTAATTTTTTAATTTTCTTTTAGCCTTTTACAGCTCTTTTTGGACTTCAATCTACCTTGACGTGTAGCTTGGTGACGAAAGTAACCAATTAGTGTTTTTACACGTGTTAATTGTTTTTCTTTACACCTAATTCTCTTACGGAGAGAGTTTTTTGCAAGGATGTGTTTCTTTCTTGAAAATATTCTTTTCTCGATGACGTAAATACGCATTTTAAGAAACAGTCCTTGAGAGCAATCCGAGTCATCGTTAAGTAATAAAAACTGGTTATAATAGATGCGTTGTAATTTATTACTCAACGCATCTTAATAAATGAATTCTGATGAGAACTGTCCCCCAGTCTCACGAATTCAACCGAATAATTTATTTTGCTGGTGTATAATTGACGGCAAATAAAAGAAGGGAATAAAGAGAGAGGAAGAATTTTCTTCCAGAGA